GATACTCAAGCTTGAGGTTGCATGGTAACTGGCACAGGCTGGTCGGACCTTAAATTGGTCTAAAAGTCTTAAAAACATGTTGTTGCTGATCCCGAAATATTCATTGCTCTATCTTGATTCCCCTAGGCGTGGCGAATATGGCCGCGTTTACCTTCCGGGCTTTTTTCACTTTTCTCTTTTTGGTCAATGCATGTTCGGCAATTATCATATATGGAGATATCGAGTGGCATGATGTAGGATCGGATGTTGAACCTGGATCTTCCGCTTCTAGCACGACCTCGCAGCATTTTCATGCTGACTCCACCATGTACCGCCCTATAGTAGTCAATGAGGGTATCGGATCTCCGGTGGAGACTACAGTACAACGGCTAAATCACTGTACTGCAAATGCCAATAGACACAAGGAGAATTCCACTATTGGCCCCACACTTGTTCCTATCAGAACTTCGGCTTCTGCTTCGCTACGAAACCTGTCTAGGATAATCACTCACTGGAATAAACCAACGCAAGCCATCACAACCACTCTATCCACCCAGAGCAGCGCTCGGAGCATTTCAGGCCAGCCAAGCATTACCACCTTCGGAGCGACGGAAAGTAGCGACGTGTGGTTTCAGACAAACTTCGCAACCGCAGGTCACGTAAAGATGACCCCATCACCATCGTCCAGCGTTCAGGCCAGTCAGGGAGCTTTCACTTCGGCCGGAACTCCCTTGGTCGCTGAATGGAAAGCCATTACGTGCTATCTTATTGGTCTCGCTTCACTGCATGAATTGTTTATCTAAATGCGTTCAATTTTGACCCACGTCCCAGACGTATATTACAGTGGAATTATCAAGACATACAATGTTCAAGCTTTTTCCATCGCCCCATCACTTAGTGTATACTCTATCAGAAGAACGAAAGATAGTTGTCGAGTGATGTGTTTTCAAATTCCACTTCCAAAGCCAGTCACCTGAAATATATCCTACTGATTTCCGTTTGTGTATCGGGAATAATGTAGAGTAGATGCGATGTCTTTTGGTGGCCCAAAGTTAAAGATCAGTGGGCGGATGCCATACCGAAGCGGGGTCGCTGTCGTACCCTCGGCAAACCTTTCTGATTCCATTTGCTACGCGTCTCTAAGAGATACACTGTCAAAACACGGTCCATGATTCTGGGACTATACTGTAGATCAAGAATTCAGAAGAGCGTAATTTGGAACAAATATGATCCTTGCAGCATGCTTAATCATGGGCATTGCGTAACTGACAAACGATTCTGATAGCAGATTTAGTATTGAGGGTAGACGGAGGCAACTCCATGCTCAATTGTCTCGAGAGGCATCACTTGCGAACTGCATTCATGCCTACGCATTGAAGGCTACCGGAATGGTGGTAAATACAGGCATGGCGGATATAGACTGACTGACTGACGCGATATACAATCAGTCGTCAAAACCTTCGAAGCTGCCGTCACGGCCTGGCTTCTTCACATTGTTCTGCGACATACTCCGTCAACGCTTTGACGTGCTCCCACATCTCGCGCGCGCACTGATATTCTTCCCTACGCGTAGGTTATTATCCTGAGCTTAGCGAGAACAGTATGAAGATGTCAAGGGCGGGTGTTTATGCTACCTTCGTTCTCGTTGAATCTCATCTTGTTTTCGTTTGAGCGTTGTGTATTGTTGCTCGAGCCTTGAACATGCGGGATGCCCTTCAGTGTTCTGTTCAAATAGTTTCGAAAACGAGTGACCGTTGGCAAACTGACCGGTGAAGTCTATCGACAATTTCGCTGTTCCGGGTGAGCCGCTGTGAGAGAAGAGCAAGAACCGCAGATGGAAGCCTTACGTAAGTTCCTGCTTGCACTGTTTATTGATCCCTTTACTATGACTTCACCAGATTAGTCTGAATGGTTTATTATGAGGTAGTCTTTATGTGTGGGCATTATGAATGGTTCCGTCTTGTAGGAGTACTGGTGGTGAGTAGAAGGGGCGGCACCACTCCACGACCTACTTATCAGCGGCATTGCTATCCGTGCTGTTTGAACTTCGTTGATGACCATGATGGCAGGCTGAAGTTGTTTGAGCTTCGAGCTTGTCCAATGGAGGTAATGCAAAGGTGACCGAACTACTGATATAGTCGATCCAAGGGTCGTGGAAAGCCATCGGCATTGGAAAGAACGACGGCGAGTTTAATGGATGTATTCAATTCGGTCGACCGTGCCTTCAGTGGAGATCATACCTGAGATTGTTGAGTCCTCTGAGAGGTACGACGGAAGGCCCTTGGTCTTATACGTCTCGTGTGGATAATGCTGTTGCCAGTGACAGGGGGCTCAAGAATGAGCGCGGTCAGAGAAAAAGAGTCAGAAACCCAGATCTACACGCATCAGCGTTGCAGGTGATGCATGATGGAGGGCTTTGATTTGGTGAGTTGATCATTTCAGTGAGCCATTGTGGTCAGTTTCTGTGTCCGGTGTTATGTGATGGCCGCGTCTGTTCGACTAAATATGCAGGGCCTACTTGGTCGATCGCTATGACTGTCCACCCAAGCAACATAGCTATACGCTGAGAAATTTTAGCCGATAGCAAAGGTCTCTCCAGAGAGCATAATGGCATACGAGACGCAATATATCTTATGGAAGCATTCAGACCTATGTTTAGCATTGTTGCCTGGGTAGCACTGTACCAAATATGCGTAAAGTTATGATAAATCTGCGAGTGCATGCTTCGAATAAGATAAAGCACTGGTGAAAAATCAGTACATCTTAGATCAATAATACACGACTTGATTCAGATCGAATGGAATCTTTCGGGCCTCGTGAATATTAATCTTGACTGCCGGCGTACTTGGAATACTGTGTCCGTCCCAGTGTCTCCATTTGCCTTGTTCGGAAGTAAATCTATTGCTTTGTACCGTCCCCCAGATTCGTTCGCAATGATTGATCTTCAAGTGTTAGAGAAGAAACCCGCTTCGATATTTATTTCCACCAAAGCTTGGAGTAGCAAGATTGCACAGGGCAATATACTGAGGGCATGAGCTTAAGTATTACGACTGTTCGCCTACTGAACTGATAGAACCTTCCTGATGAATTTATTCCGATGACAGTGCTTTTCGAACAAACGTGGTCGACTCCGAGGATTCGCCGCCCACAGGTCGAGGATTCATGAGCATTTCTGGTGATCGGGGTTCGTCCCTAAGCTCCTCTATACCTTTTCTCAAGGATTCTTCATCCAACTCGATCCGCCAGTCATTCAGAGCTGAATCGGTCATCCTTCCCCTCCGAAGAAATACTTCCACAACGGATTCAAAATATCGGCAAACGTGTATCAAACTTGGAAAGCAATTTTGTACATATATGGCGATTCCATGGGTTCCGTACGGCGGAAAGTTGCGACTATTTCTGCGCTTGGAATCAATATCACACCGACCGACATCAGGAGCCGGGTAACGTGACTCACATTTGAGTGTCCATGTTCGCACCGCACGTGATCAAGATCCCTGGACCCAGGAACTGGGCCAGCTCGCACCATCGGCGACCGACTCGCTTCCGTGCGTGAAACCTGTCGCGAACATTTTGCTTGGTCTGCTCACTGAACTGCTCCCACTCCACGTAGGCATTTCGGAGAAGCATGTCGGCTGCTTCTGTCTCTAGGCCGACTCCCTGATCGGCTTGTCGGGAACTGGAGTTGGCTCGGAGGGCTTTGATCTGCTCATCGTGCCAGTAACAGAGTCGCACCCGCACCAAGCGTCGCATGAGGATTTTGGCCATTTCATCCTCGTACACCTCAGCATCAATCATGTCCAGAGAGCGTTGAATCGACAGTGCATGGTCACCAACGTTTGAAGGAGACGTTGGTGGCCACAAGCCACTTTTGAGCCATCCCAGAAGGTGTTGATCAATGAATGCAACAAGATCTTCTCTCAAGGCGGCTTGAGCGGCTTGTACAATGACTGAGAGTTTGTCGAAGCCCGGAGTGCTGGTTTCATTATCATCGCCAGGAGCTTGGTATCCGGACATGATATCTAGCCCTCGATGATACTTTGGCTCGATCCTTGCTTTCGCAGCTTGGAGTGCTGCTGTGATTTGCCAGTCATCCGATCTGTTCATAAATGCTATATATGGATCCTCCTCTGCTAACGCCGTGCACGGCCCCGAAACGTTACTTTGGAAGTCTGCAACCTGCACGCCTGATGCTTGTCCATCATCGGATCGGGGTCCTATCGCAGGATTCACGGCAGGATGACAACGGCCGACGCTTGGGCCTGGTGGCCCAACCACAGATGAATATGGCGTAGAAAGAGATTGAACCAAAGAATCTTGATGTGATTAGTGTCTATGTCAACTTTGCAGGCGTAACTCCATCTTCGACCGTCCTAGGTTTCAAAGTACGTCGATCTCCCTTAATCTTCTCACAAGGAGGCTGACTTACGGTCAATTTGAAACAAAGTCGGATAGCTTCTGCACAAATACACCGCTATAGCGTGCTGCTGAGCTCTGCTCTGCTCTATCAACCAAATCACATGAGCGACGAGCTGACTTGCTACCTAGTTGCAAAGCAAGGCCTATATTAGCGAGTTTTGACACCTGATAGACGGGCTAATGGGAGTTTCTTGTACTAGAGCATTTTGTGGCTCCAATGCTTCAGCCGGCTCTCTGTCCTCTACCTGCGTTCGCCAATTAGTCAGTGATTCTCGAAGGGGGAGCATAGACTCCTACGGGAAATTTAAGAACAAGGTGTTTCATCGTACACAAATTGCAAGCTAGGCAGACAGTGATAGGCAGAGAAGTGTTCTTGGTATAGTAGCGATGTTGTAAGTCTTTAAAGTGCCGCCGCGCAACGACAGCTGGAAAGACTACAACCGTCTAGCACAGCTCGATAGTCTATTCGGAACGTCTAACATCTTCAATTGGCTGCAATTTTTGAGAACATATGAAAGGGCCTCTTGTAAGAAAATGAGTGCTTCTCGAATGACGAGATCGCGGGATGGGCTATTCCCAGTCTCGCATCTTCCGCTCCATCCGGAGTTTTCAGTGGCCAACATTCAATGCACGCGATGAAAGGGCGTATGTTTTACCGCTAAATGGAGAAAACACCTCTAAGTGGAAAAATGCATTCTGTGCGCAGGTCGAGCCCCAATAGAGTCCACGTGCTGCTACTGTCGCTATTATAGGCACATGACATGATTAAATCCGTCAGCGGCAGCTGTAAGACGCGTTCACCGTTCCGAGAATCGTCCCAAGTTACTATTACGATTACAGTTTGCAAAAAAAAAATAAAAACACCCGTGAGCTATCCGAGTACTTCATTATTCCGCAATACCGATTATAGTTGCTTTAGTTCTGCTCTAGTCGTTTAGTCGTTAAGTCTACTTTTCTGAATTCCTCACTGTGTGACTGATGATCACAACAACATGTCTCACTGCCGGTTATCATTCAGAAAGGCCTGGTTGTTGTCAAAATAAAAAAGTCAATCTTCGTCCAGAATGTCCATCTGTCAGGAAAGACTGGTTCAGATGCAGTGAGCTATTCCTATAATGTAGACAGCACACTCCCCATTGGCTCAGCAGAATCAGGGCTGGCGTAAAAACGTCTTAACATAGTCCCATTCAGACTAAATTGCGACCCAGCTATCTACACATTATGTGCCTGGTCATTGGTGATGTTGAGTGTTTTGGAGTAGCTCATTCCAAGCATCTTCCGCCTCGCGCGCCCGCTCAGCTAACGCATCCGTCCGCTGCTGCATTCCAACGGCAACGTCCGCTACTGAGACGAACTGTTGCTGGGACTTGAATTGAGTTAAGCTCTCGATGATTGACTTCAAGGGTGGGGAGGGCTGCGAACTGAACCGGCTGAGATGCTCTTCCGCCTGGCTCAACGAAAGACCGGGCTGCGAATAAAACAGGTTTAGCAACTTAACCACATCCGACAAAGATGGAACCCGCTGCGAGCAGTGTCGGACCAAAGTCCGCTCCACCAGAGCCAATGCAGGATAAGGGCTCGCAAGACGCTTCAACAACTCAGGAACATCGCCAGTGGTAGGCAATGGCTGAGAACAGTGGAGTCTCAGTAGCGCAAGAAGTTTAGTCCTCGAGGGTAACGGCTGGGAGCAGCAATTCAGGATACTTTCACATTTCTCTACGTCTAGTCTCGGATCCAGGTAAAATAGGCACAACAGCTCGACCGTTTCCTGGAAAGGGAGAAACGATTGCGAACAGTAGAGGTCGAGAAGCCCCTGGATTCCGCCGAGGGAAGCCGTCTCGCCACAGTAAAGAGTCAACAAATCGTTTATGCCAGTGCGAATCATTTCCTGAAGCTCCTTGAAAAGACGATAGTGTGCCCGGTACAGACGATTTCGGCCGCGGTGCCATCCAATCTCGCGGATGAGATCTAGATCCTGTTCCTTCATGGCTGTCGAATCGTGTCTCAGATGACAAGCAAGCTAAAATGCTTAGTCTGTTATAGCAAGGTCTGCCGATTTCTGCTGATTACATTAGGCGGTAGAATAGATTCTGAATGGTTTCGCATTCAGATCTCCAACGCAAGAAACTCCGTTGATCCTGGGCTTGATAAAGCCAGGCAAGTAATATATAGCCCTGTCCGAAAAGCTCTCGTTCAGCATGATACTCGGCGAGAGAATTGGCCACATTTTTATATCCCCTGTTCAGCCAGAGACCATGAACAGGGGCACATAAGCAGAGCCCCTCTTAAAAAGAATCTCGTATGGGCCACGTCACGTTTGATCTCTTCAACCCATCAGAAATTTGTTTGCGCTTTGGTATACCTGCGTTTTGTCTTAACCCTGATATTTGAGGTCCTATGATTTCAACCGAGGCTGATTGAGATACGAGGTCGGCCATCAACCCATGTTCGAGTATCGGCACATTTTTTAGGGTTACCGTTCGTAGATTTGGAAACGACGGACGCTTGCGCATATATGTCATCGAGCTCGTTGGGTATACTGTGCCGTCAGATAATCGAAGGTCCAGCCTTTCCAAAGTACCGGAGTTATGTCGGATGCACGTCTCAAGTATGAAAGCATGTCTTCTGGTGGAGATGCCGTGCCATACCAGAGCTCTTAGATGGCGGAGTTTGACAAGCCCATCGACATTGATGTCTTCGGTAATGATACAACCACCATCGTCTCCGTCATCTGCACTTCTCGTATAGAGCGCAAGCGACGTGATTTGGGGTTGAAATTGCGGGATATAGCCCTCTAAATCTAGGATCCCTTTGGGAAGCCATGAGTAGCCCCAACTGTGTATATCTTAGCCGAGCACATGACTCTGAAGTCGAAGAAATCGCTTACGTAAAATTCATGAGGTGACCGGCGCTGAGCCGGTTGAGTAAGAGCGTGACACCGTGGACGAGGCTTTTAGGAAAGAGCATCCCATGTCCCGACACTTGGGAGTTGTCCGGTATGTGGCTGCCCGGTGTGCGACGACAGCACAGACGCTCCTGCGCTGGAGACTCGGCCATAAAACTCAACCCTCTCAGCGATGATAGCAAGACGTGAGCTCCATACCGGTCATGGCACAAGAGAAAACACGCTATTCCCGCGAGTGGTTTTCCATGCGGCATGACAATACATAGCTCTCGGTTGTCCGCATCCGCTTCGGCTAGACAAGCCATCGCAGGTTGTACCTCACAAGTTTATTGATAGACTATCGAGTGCACCACGTGAATCGACGATGGATGGGATGGGATGGAAACAAATGAGCTAAAAGTACTCGAATAGACTTCAGTTGAGTTTGAGATTGTAAAAGCATTTTGCTCGAAATTCGGGCCCAGAAGCGGCATCTTTCTGGAAGAATAGCCGATATTTCTAAGCACAATACCCGTCGCCTTCACGGGTGCAAGGATTGCGAGAGAGGAATATTGTAATGATCTTCCGCAAAATTCATAATATTGGTACTTAAAACCCCCCTTATTCAACAAATTGATCTTGGTTTGGAGGACAATTGAACAGACTTGTGAGCGCGCCATATGTTTGATGAACGATGACTTAAGGAGCAACGCTTGGTTAATCCAGCGTTCCGCCGCTTGCCAGCCGCTCCCAAACCCGAATCGTCGGCAATCATTCTATTGAAACTTCGCTTATGAGGAAGCCAACGCGACATCTCCAGACCTATGGATCTGTTCAACAAGATAGATTAATGTTTGAAGTCCCAACCGCGACTTTTAGACTGAAAGCGAAACGCGGAACGGCTGGCCGCTCCTGATCGCGTATGTAGATCTGTAGGACAGTAAGTGTCTCGGCTTGTACAAAAGATACTCGAAACACCCTTTGCGTCTAGTCTCCTCTACTGTCTTTCAACAACACCGAGACATTTTCTTATCTCTAATAGTAATCGACAATGTGGAATCTCGACGGAGCGGAGTGTCATTATCACGACAGCACAATGCCTCGTGTCACTGAAATGCCGGCGTCAAGCCCCTCGTTTCCACATCCGACCCGTACCTTCTCCTCGGAGTGCTCTTCATGCAGCTCTAGTGTTGGGACCCTCGATATATACGATTTGTCTTCCGCATATGTCAGAGCGAAATATACCATACCTGGTGATGCAGCCTCCATGCCCAGCTGGCAAACATGCCATCTTCTCTGCTCAAAGATCATGTCCCGACTGCTCGCTGCCGAGCTGGTTCGGAAAGTCGACGCCTATTACTACGGCAAAACGAATGATTTACGCACCGGAATGGTTCTATTATTGACAGCTCATCGTCGGCTAGAGGGCTGGGTCCAGGCCGATGTATCCTTGGCCGATGGTACCCTGATCAGCAGTGCCTTCGCTTTGTGCGTCCCGAAACCCACACAGGAAAGTCGAGTCCGGTCCCTGGCATCCCCGATTGCTTTCAAAGACCCTCAGATTCAACCAACGACAAACGACTTCAGATTTCCGTTTGCCAAACCAATTCGAAAACCAAGCCCACCTCCGGATGACTTTTGATGACTAGCCCCAATGCTAGTGGTTCTTCGGCAGATTCCGCGCTACTCCATGGCTACGGATTATTACCATGCGGACCATCGGGGCGGAAATATTTGACCGATTGTTCTCGCTGTGGATACTTGGATACTAAATAATTACTTCAAAGAGCATGAAAGAGTCTCAACAAATCATTGGCAATTCGCTTTAGTTCAATGTATTCCTACTCCTTGTCCTCCATGCTATCTATGGTTCACTTCTTCCATCTGATCTCTTGTTCCTGCCGGCTATCGGCTCATTGCACATTCTGTGATTGCTTCCTTTTCTGTGTATGAAGATTTGTCAATGTCTAGCCTCCATTGAGAAATAGTTCAGTTCCACAATCCTTTCGCCTTACATCCTCAAGATACTTCTTCACCCAAGTCATTGAGCCTTGACGAAGTCCCAAGGCCCGACTTTGGATCAAGCTTACGCCGAACTGGCTGTCTCGAACCATTTGGACATTGCAAAAGCTTGATTTCCCATCCGTAAACAATATTGAGCTCAAGCGATAGTTTGTTTTCTCTGATTTCCAGTGTTCTCTAATTCTCAAAGGCAATAGATTGTATAAACAAAATAGCAGCGTTATAGAAAGCATTTCAGGCGAACAAGGAAGGTCAACTTGAGTGCGAATTCCAAAACAACAACAGCGCGCATTATCATCAGATGTAGAACAACAATCAGAAATCTCAAATTCGCGATGTAACAGGATTAGCACGTGTCCAGCACACCAGACATACCCATATGCGAGCAACCTGCCGGAGAGATATGCCCATGCGCTCGGCCTTAGGTCTTAGCCCACTCGCTGTCCGCCTATCTCGAGATCATGCCGGTAGTAAATCTGACCCACGAATCCAGCCTCAGCCGCTCACGGGCTCTGGTGAGACTTCCACGGCACTATCTTCACGCCAATGTCGCTCACCTAAACCCTTCCTGACTTCCGTCAGCACAATTCTGTTGATATCGGCGAGCTGAAGGCTTGGTTTATTCTTAATCTCTTGCAAGTCTCGCGATAGTGCCTTTATTTGCACGGAGAAATCGCGTAGCACAGACTCTGTCTGCTGTGTAGGCGCCTGATGCTTCGCCTGCATCTTGGCTTCCAGGGCAGCTGTTGCTTTTGCTACTTCCACGGCGATGCTCGAACCGGTGGACTCTGCGATGATCTTCTGCATCTCGTCTAATCTCTTGTCAGTGTGATCCTGTAACCTTTTCGCGATGCCCTCTTCATCCGCAGCCTGCGTTGGGGTTGTTTTGGCAAAGTCGGCGAGTTTTTGGTCCACCATCGCTTCGAACGTCTCCGTTCGAAGATCTTCGGCCGAGGCCTGACTCTGAGTAGGCCGCGACACGTTCCTTTTGCGCAGGCGCTTCAGCTCTTCTTCGTTGTCGGAACATTCCTCGTTCAGTTCAGTTTTCTTTTTGGCGGGGAGTGGTAGCGAGGGAATTTTATCTCTGCTACAGATCTCGCCGATCAAGTGCTGGGCCCTTTTGGGCGTTATCATTTTCTTCAACTCTGTGGAATTGAAGAAAATGGGATGCCTGCGCTCCTTAACG